AAGACAGTTCTTTTCTTTCTATTATATTACTATTCGATTAGTATTAGTTAGTGATTCTGGCTCAGTGAGTCCTTTCTTCTGTGATTAACTGTTAACGCCAGTCCTACATTTTGTCTTTGTGGACCGAGGAGAAAGGAGGCTCAACAGGAAGAGGATTGTACCGTGAGAGAGGACATTTTCAAATATGCAACATGGATTCTGGCAATGCAATGTAATGTAGTTTTCATGCTGATCCGAATGAATCATCTTTTCCATGGAGGTAAATCTTTGCCCGCTAGGTAAGAGGATAGCAAGTTACAAATTCTATTTCGATAGAACATGTATTTCTATTACTATGAAATTCATAAAGGAAGTAATGAATCGTGCCATTATCCTTTTTGTTTTGTGGTGACGAATCTGGTATGTGTTCCTAAGAAAGGAATTTGTCAAAATTTCAGCGGGGTCTTAAAGGGGTAAAGGGTCGTGGAAACACATAAGAACTCTTGAATGGAACTAGAAAAGAGATGGAACTCCAGCTCCTTCGCGAATGGTAAGATCTTTGGCGCAAGAAGAAGGGGTTGATCCGTATCATCTTGACTTGGTTTTGATTTCTCTATTTTTTTAAGAATACCGCTTCTCCTACCCGAGAACATGCTGCGGAAAACCTTCGTCATGTAAAACCTGCTTGATTTAGATCGGGAGAATCATACGATTTTATGAAACCATGTGCTATACCTTGAATCCGCAATCAATCCTATTTTCGATAGGAGTAGTTGACAATTGAATCCAACTTTTTCCATTCTTTTCGTATACGTAATAGTGCGAAAGGAAAGCCCGGTTCAAAGTTGTTCAAGAATAGTGGCGTTGTTGAGTTTCTCGATCCTTTGCCTTAGGATTAGTCAGTTCTATTACTTGATGGGTGCAGGGAAGGGATATAACACCATGGAAATACATGCCACTCAGCCAAAGAAATATGATGGAAAGTTGGCCGAAATGAGCGCTAAATATTTTTCGAGAGATCTCCTCCAAATCACTGGTCTGGCTATCGAAATCGTGAGCATCGGTAGGTTCCAGATCCAAGTAGTAGTATCAGGTCCCTTAGCTAGTGTTCTTGAGAAATGACCAAGTTTAGCCTATTCCTCGAAAGAAGTTTTTATGGGATCCCTATCTACCAAAATTTTGACTTCTTGTTCCGGCGAACGAATAATCATTGAGTCTTCTTCTTTCCAGACAACACATACAAAGAGACCCGCCAACAGTCAAGAAGTTACTGAACCTATGAGAAATGTTTAGAATTAGTTTTTTTTTCTTCTATCTCTCTTCTATTGCTTTTTTAGTTCTTCACTAGAGCAATTATGTTCTAGAAGTCAATCCGGGGCAAGTGTTCGAGACATATATGGTAGAATCGTAACCATAGAATATGACCCTAATCGAAATGCATCCATTTGTCTCATACACCATGGGGATGGTGAGAAGAGATATATTTTACATCCCAGAGAGGCTATAATTGGAGATACCATTGTTTTTGGTACAGAAGTTCCTATAAAAATGGGAAATGCCCTACCTTTGAGTGCGGTTTGAACTATTGATTTACGTAATTGGAAGTAACCAATTAGGTTTACGATGAAACCTAGAAATCGATCACTGATCCAATTTGACTACCTCTACAGGATAGACCTCAACAGAAAACTGAAGAGTAACGGCAGCAAGTGATTGAGTTCAGTAGTTGCTCATATAAAATTATTGACTCTAGAGATATAGTAATACAGCGATAACACTAGTTACACATTAAAGTTCCATCAACTTATATAGACTTAAATTAATTATATATTTTAAAAGAAATCCCAAGTGTCTATAGGAATATAAGAATAATAAGCACAACAATTGGTGATATTTAAAAGATGAAATCAAGATGAGAGCATAGTAGGTGAATATAAATATACCATGTCTATAAATCTTAATAAGCATAAGAAAGAAAAAAATTAATGGCCTTAAAGTCTAAATATGGATTTCAAATGCAACAAGCTAGCAATTTAAGGCAATTAATACTGTTTCAACATATAAGAAATGGGAAAGAAATTTTTTTTTTTTGGTTAATTCTATTAAATTAGATTATTGGATTGGTTTGGTTTTCATAGAGCAAAACTGATAACCAAATCAATTTAATTGGTTTCTATTTTTTTTAATCCAAATTAATTCAATTAGATAATAATTTTAATTGGTTTTAAATTAGATTGCTTGGATTAATCGGATTGATTCGAATATAAACATCCCTAATTACAAGGACATAAATTTGAAGAATATCTCTTTCATAAGCAAGGATGGAGGTAATTTATTTCCTACAAAATTTCATGAGAAATTTCATCTATCTCATGAATCCTCTAAGGATTCATATATAATAAAAATATATATATAAATTTATATTTTTATTAATTGTAATATATACTTATAAAAAAAATCAATTAATTTGTTATCTAACCCAACCCAAATTGCTGGCAGCCCAACTCAATTCCTCTTCCCCAAACTCACAATAAAAATGTTTTTTAAGATTATGTTAACTTGAAATACCTTTTTCATAATGTTAATTCCTCAATTAAAAATTGTTGATCAAAAGCTTGAGTTGCTACCGCATTAGAGTGTTGCCTTGTTAGATGTAATAGGATGGATGTTTATGCGCGCATTTACTAGTTTTAAATTTCTCCTCTCTTTTTGGTATTGTCCATGCACTGTTGGACTATCATGCATCTGCTGGTTTCTAATTTCTCCTCTCTGTTTGGAGTACTTATTACTTATTTTTGTAGAATTTATTTATATTTATGGAGTGGATCTTTAAAGTATTTGTGAAATTTTCTATATACTTTTTACTTCTAAATGTAATATTATAAAATTTATATACAAAAAAAAAAAAAAAAAGAGGTTGAATTGTGTAATTTTAATATTTGATAAAAACTTCGCATACCCACGGGGACTTCTCACTTCTTGTAGAAATGGGGATAGAGGGTATTTTTTACTACTTTACTAAAAATCCTTGTGATGATCCCTTATCTACCAGTGATAGGAATGAAGATGGAGAGGGAGTCTCCAATCTACAAAGACCTGTTACTATCCTTAGCAAATGCATATAAAAACTTAGGTCATTGGAAGCTTATTGTCATTCCTAGTAAGTGCACATAAAAACTTTAAGTCTTTACATGCATCCACGTCAAATCATAAACATATTATGTATATATTTAAAAATTTTAAGTTTTCATGTTAACTACCCATAAACCAAATAGATAAAATGTAATTTCCTCTATTTTCTTTTCTTTATGT